TTATTGCTCTTTTCTGTTGATGTTGCTTCCCAGAAAATAAAACTCCTTTCTTTTGATGTCTGTTTCCAAATACTGTACTTCTAATGGAGAGTGGGAGGTGGTAATAGAAGGTAATGGCAGAATTTTTATATAAACCATAATAAATTGGACAGCTCATTTTAGAGAGATCTGTTGCTGCTTTAAGAATGTGTTTCTCAAATCTCCTGTGTGCAACACCATCTGTTTCTAAAGAGTAATATACCTGTCTAGCCTCAAGCGATATTGCCAGTGACTCAGGCAATAGAATGAAGCATCCAACAGCTAGATAAAGATAGCACTGCTGTCTACTTTAACCAGAGGAGCACTTTAAGCTTCCAAATCTCAGGAAAGCAAGACTTTCTCCATGGAAGGTGTACAGTAACACCACAGTGTTTTGTTGGTACATATGAGGATTGAGAAAGAGAGTCTGGACTGTAAAGCTACTGGCCAGTAGTCAGGCAATGGCACCAGATGTAGAAGAAAATAGTTGTCTTGGAAGTAAAAAATCTTTGTTTTGTATAAACATAACTGGTTAAATTAATATGTCATAGATAGAGATCAAAGGATATAAAAAAGACCCTTTTTCTTGAAGCTGTTACAAAAGATTACTTTCAGGGTTAAATTCACCCCAGCAGAGGTTTTACAGAGGTCATCTACTTAAACCCTGACCCTAAAAGCCATGTCTTAGACCTTATGAGGTCTAAAGTTTTGTGGATGAGATTTGCATTAGCTAGATTTCACACATGGCATACTTAAATCAATGAAAATGTCACAGAATGAAATGCAGTGTTCTAAACTGAATGGAAGAACAGAATTTGGCCTTGTTTAACTGATGGTAGAGTTGCCAGTGTGTTTGAATTCTCTGTACTGTGTTATATGTGAAGTAGCCAAGAAAACTCATTGTTTACTGGTCCTATTTTAAAGGAGGGATTATAGTATGTTCACATGAGATAGAACTGGTACGATTCTTATTTCTGCTTCTTCTACAACTGCTCTTCTACCAGTATTTATGATGCTATTCACAAAATCAAAGCCTTTTGCATCACAAAAAATGCTATATGAGTGTTTGTCCTAAGCAATGAACTGTCTGTGTAAAAGCTAGACAGCAGCTGAACACAAAGTGGTGTTGAGAGAAAGACAGTACTAGTTATCTTCAGGAAGTCCTGAGCAGTGTGATGTGAACAGTACCCAAGATGCTTACTCACTCTTGTTTTAAATAGACTTCATGAAAGGCACTTGTAGAGATAAAAGTAGCTGTTTAAGGGAGGAAAATAAATTGTCTTTGCTTTTGCTTATGAAGGACTTCTTCCACATAAAAGTGCACAAGGAAGACCAGAAAATGTGATATAAAGCACTATTTTCTGCCATAATTGGCATAGTGCATATCCATCTATTTTCCAGTGCAAGGTATTGAGATACTATTGATGTAAAAGTTGAGAAATTACTTAGGGAGAAAAATTATTTTCCTCCCCAACTTGATATGAATTATTTTTAACTGCATTATTAGAAGCCATAGTTCCAATCAGATACTCTTTGTAAACTGGAGACTGATAATTTAAAGTACACAATGAAATACACATTTGTGGACTCATTTGCCTTCAGAAGCAATTATCAATCATAAACAGTCAAGAAGTCAAAACTGTATTTGTGGACCTCTCCTCTATGAAGAGTGATTGGTGTGGTTTAAAATGATGTTGAATGACAGAACTGATATTTTTATCATTCTGTACTGACTGAATTGTATTTCTTCTTCACATTGAGATGCTCATTTCCTTGCTCCTGATGCAGTCTCAAAATGCAAGAGTGAACATAAAATCAATAGCCCCTGTCTCAAAACAGTGTAGATCTCTCCTGTACTTTGGTCTCCAGACTGAAGTATCAACAAATTAACCTATAAGCATGTCATGAAATCTGTTCCCCTTGCACAGCCATCGAATACCTTAGTGACTAAGGACAATCATTTAAATCTTGTGTGACTCTTCCACTAATTTCACTCAGGGGAGCCTGGAATACTACTGAGTATTTGAGAAGTATTTTGTTCTCCACATGTAGAGGGTGCTTGATGAAGGTAGAGTAGGAAGAACATTATGAGCAATTAGGGCCTCCTCATCTGCAGTTCACAGCTTCAGAGAAGTGGTATGATGCCTGAGATGGGGACTAGCTCTCCCTTTGCCCACAGCATGTCCCCATGCCCATGGCATGTGTGGGTGAAGGAGGTGAGGGCCAAACCACACGGATACTCACCAGCCCCTCCACCAGCACCAGCATCTAGCTCTCTGCATCAACAGGGAGTGCACATTAACTACATTAGTCTACCAGTGCACATTTCACATGTGCCCTGATAGAGTAATGTAGTTACGCTGAAGTAAGAAGCAGCCAAGGCACTTGTATTTCTCTTTCTTCTGTACTAGTCAGGTTGTGGGAACCAGATTTGAGGTATAAGGTCTTAGTGTATTCCATATAAATCAGCACAAGTTTTAAAATTGGCTTTGGTATGTAAATGCTCCAGAAAGTCATGCTGTATTTGTACATTATTGAGCCTGAAATTGTGAATGTGTGGCTGAAATAAACCAAAAAAATATCTGCACTGAATTTCAGTAGGGTTTGTATCCAACATTTTTTGGATCAAAAAGTAAAAATGAAAAAGACAAAATCCAATAAGCCCCAAATCAATGGACAGGGGATTTTTAAAAGCATTGTAATAATATAGCACATTCTACAAATGCATTTTAGAAGCACTTCAGAGGCCTTGATGATGATGATAATACACATCTTGGCAGAGGGCAAGAGGAGAATTACAGCTTCATGGAGTCAGTTTACCAGAGCCCGGCGACATCAAACCTTTGATTTAGAGCTGATGATATATAGGGCTTAAGTAAGCTTGTTGGGAACAACTATAGTGGAGAATGAGCTGTTTCATAAACCTCTGCACTGTACAATCTGTACTGTATTGCAAATCAAAACAGTATTGAAGCAAAGTGCATTGATTGTCCCTGAGCCACCACCAGCTTTAATAATAGAATTGCTGCAGATGCATGTTTGAAGTGGCTTTGTTTAAAGCCTCAGTTTTATTTACAGCACAGATGAAAACTACTCTGCAGCAATAAGCTTCCTCTTTTCAACAGTGTGTATGTGTTTGTTGATGCTGGTTACCCCCTGATTCCTGATTTTGAAAGAGACTTTGTCGTGATTCATTGGGCAATTTATGCACCATTTACATGCAGTTCCCCAAGTGTTATTTGAAGTAATTGAGTACATATTTTTATGATCTATAAAGCAGTCCTTTAAATTTGTACACATGAGAAAACTCTTTATGATGAACCAAAGAGTAACCATCCAAGTATGAATAGCATCTAAAAATCAGGGGCAAAATTTTCCCACAGCACTTCAAGTGCTTAAAACTTCATAGTAATTCTTTCTTTATTGCAGTTACTTACTCTGCATATGATACTTCTCACGTGTAACATTCTAACTATTTTATCAGGAAAAGTAGCTACTATTTCCCTTCCCACCCGGCTTCTCATGGTGGCAAAAGCAGGAGTAGAGGAAGGTTAGGCAATTTTGTGAAGTATTGTAGAACATTTGCTGTGAAGATGGGAATAAAACCTTGAGAGCAGTGCTGGTCTCACCTGTCCAGTCACAAGACTTACAAGAACCTTGTGTCCTGTAAAGGGGCAGTGTGGAGTGGTGCCACTGTTGGGCTTTAAGGAGGCTGTTGGGGTTGTCAGAGAAGCAGTTTTAATGTCTGCACCTGTTCCCCAAAAGGGAAAATACAACCACACAGCTTTGCTAAATATTTTGAGAAGACATGACCTCGTCATATTAAAGGTCTACCTATGACAAGGAAACAAAAATAATTGTATCTGGGGTAAAAAATAAAATTAAACCAAATACCCATTACGTTTTTCAGCTCAAATTCCCATCATTAGAGGTTGATGTCCATGCATTTCATTAAATAGCAGAGTGGTTCTCTTGTATCACTATTTTCTGTATTTATTTGACTCTTCTGAAGATTTTTTACCACTACATAACTGCCATGGTTTCTTTGCCAATCAAACTGATAAACTTTTGTGTGCTGTTTTTTCCTCTTTGCTGTCTTTATTATCATTTTAAATTGCTAACCTTGTACCTATTTTGCTAAGAAATACAAGTGTAATATTCTTTGGGAAGCAACTAATTATAAATTTACACCTCTTTACCACTAAAATTTCATGCAAATAAAATTATATAGACGCATAAAGAAAAATGTGGGTGTGAATCCATACAGGGAAGAAAGAGCAATATGTGTTCCATTATTGATTTTTTTTTATTGCCTCAGAAATACAGCTACCTGATGTTATAACTAAAGAAACTATTTCTAAAGAAACTGTTTCTAAAACCTGTCTTTCTGCACCCCCCCCCTCCAGCCTCACTTTAATAAACTGGCAAAATTTTACCATACTTATTCACTTGATTATCTCGGCAAAAAACATCATCCTTCCAACATATTTTATTTTCACTGCCTTTTCCAAGAAAACTTGGGAGCTAATGTTGCATATATAGTATATATAGTAAAGAACCAGTTTAGTTTTTTCACAAATGTATAGAAATGACAGAGCTTTAAAAGAAGAAATAAACCTGCTCCTAGAAAGACCCTTGTTTTGAATAAACCCAGCTGGCACCGTGAAAGAAAGCAAGTCATAGCAGGTTTCTAAATTTCCTGTTATCTATCCATCTGCTTTCTGTGCCAAATGTGGATGACATTATGAATAATAACATTGAATAAAGACTGAGTGAAGACCTGCTAGTATACTTCCTACTCAGATATTCAGGGCTAGAAACTTAATGTAGAAGCTTAGGACTGCATTAATTAGTAATCTTGTTGCCTTCAGCTGATCAAACATGGATAATCAGGATGACATCATTACATAAGAATGCTTAAGGCCAAATATTTATGTAATTTATCAATGAACTTTTTCTTCACTATTCTATTACAGTATTATCACCTTTTAACCTGCATGGAAGACCAGCTCTAAGAAATCCTTGAATCCCAGTAAGCACATATGTTTTGCATTTCTGTTTTTATAGTGAAATTTTAACACATGTTAATTTAAGACAAGTGTTTCAGATGTCCTTATGAAAAGAAAGAAAAAGTCTCCACACTGAGAAGATATATAAATTAAAATCCTAATGAAAAGCCAATATTAAATGAAAGGTCAATAACTAAACTGAAGTTCAGTGCAAAATTAGCATTTTCTGTTTGAAGTGTAACAAATATTTTTAACAATTTTCAAATTCAATAAATTACTCAAGTCAACAAAAAATACTTAAATCCATCGTGGAGAGGGACAATGTTTTGGAATTAGTAATGATTTGCCTCCCTTACATTGATTAGGCAAGCTACAGTTTCTTCATTACCAGAAGGATATGCAAATCGCACAACTAACAAGAAATACCAGCATACACTATTGTGCCCTTATCTGTGTCATATGTGCATGGGAGAATAATAGCAGCTTTAAAAAGAACAGTATTTCTCAATCCCATGGTATCTCCTGCACCTGTGAAGTTTGAAAAAGGCAAACCCCCCAACTCTTTGTAGTTGCCTAGACTATAAGAGGGAGAAGGTTAACACCCAATATTTGCAAGAATGAAAAGCATCCTAATTATTTTGTTATGCTATGGGATGCTGACAAGGCTTGTGTGCATGAAAAAGCATCAGATAAAACCCTCTAAAATTCCCTAGGGGATTTCTCTCTACTATAAATTTTTTGATAATCCTAATCTTTTTCAATCTGCTTTAAGGTCCCTGTGTAGAACTGGCCAGGAAACTGTTCCCAGAGGAGTTATTCTTTCACTCTCAAAATGGGTGGAAGCCCAGTTGAATCTCTTCAGATTCGAGTGCTATTCAATATTTCTTTTAATGGCACAAGTGAAGAAATAGAGTATGTGAGTATGCTTCTCACAGGTGCTGCTGACACCATCCTAGGAAACCTGTCAAAATTTTCTAAAGGGTTTACTTCCAAAAGTATGTTTACAAATAGAAGACGTGATCTGAAAACACAATAACACTATTTCAGTAAGTGCATGATATTGGATTTAGATAGAAATAACCAGCTGAACAAGAATGGGATGGAAAAGATATAAATGTTGTAGTAATGTTCTTGTAGTTATACTTGGTCACAGATTAAATATGAATTGTCAATGTTACCCAGTAATAAACATGATAAATGATATGCAGTGATCAGTAAAAGAGTTTAACCTGCAAAACTGGTGATCTGATGAGACCTGGTGTAAGTCATGAGGTTCTTCAGTCAATTATTTACAGTCTCATACTTCATGTCTGCATTTGCATGATGTGCTAAGTCTAGAAGGGCTTGCTTTATGATATATTCGAGCATGTCAAGGCTGTTGACATACCTTCTCTCACAGTTACACACATAATTAGATTTCTTTGCTTATTTGCAATGTCACCATGGCATAAAATTGCTTTATTTATTGAACTGCCTTGTTTATTTTAGTTTCAAAAAAATATTAAACATGTTTGCTGATCAACAGCAGTAGCTAGTTCAGACAAGGGTAAACCAGGAAAATTATTTTAAGACTGATGTAAATTCATTGGGATGTGCTGGATTAAAAGTCTCCCACTTGCAAGGCTACATACAGATTCTCATTCCATGTCCAGAAAAGTCACTTTGTGAAATTCAGTGGTCACAGATTAAGCTCTAAAGCTCAGACTGATTACCCGAAATAACAAGGAGTAGTGTTGAAGTAGTTGCCAGTGAACAAACTTTGTGAGAGAACAAGGCTGATAAACACCATTTATTTTTATTTTTGACTTTAAAAAGATGCGAGCATTGAATTAGTTGTACTGGGATATCATAGCATATGGTTGCTCACAAGCATGTTCTTTGTATGGGCCATTCTAGAAATAGAACATGAAGCAGGTTTCCTTCTTCCAGAAGCTTATTCAATAAAGGAACTATTGTGGAAATTCTGAAAAATGAACCCTAGTAACAGAAAAATGTTGCTTTTCTATAGGCAAATAATTGGTCTGAAAAGGACCACAGAGCTCAGTTGACTATTTCAGGTGCAGGAAATAATGATATTTGTGGAAGAAAAGGAGTTAAGAGCATCTTCCTTTAGTCCAACAGAGCATTGAATTGCTCTTCTTGAGTCCCTACAGCTCCAGGTTACTCTCCAGATACACAAGTTACTAAGGGACGTGCTTGATTATTTTTAGATTTGGCAAGGGTGTAATTATCCATTCTTATTTCCAAGCAGAGGTAAAAGTCTTGTTCTCTTCATGTCTACTGGACTTCATTTGGCCACATAAACTGGGAAGAGATTAAGTAGTGCCCCAACCCATTATACAGTTCATCAGCAACTCACCATGCCAGGCCACTCCCTGGCAGGGAGAGGTAGGCACTCTCCTGGATTTTGGACCCTTTCCACTGCAGAGATAAAAGCATTGCAACAATTTTTTGATCTGTGTAAGTACAGAAAACCATCCCAGAGTTGTAGTGCCATAGGGTCCTATTAAACAATCATGGGCAACATACGCTGTACAATGTTAGCACATGAAAGAAGCAAGCAAGCAGCAAGTTCAGTAGACTTAATTTTCCCATTAGCACTGCTTTCCATGATTTTATTAGCTTACTTGAAAAATTTTACTTCACAGATTTTTATCTTGTTTTTTTTTCAGATAAAGCAAAAGCAAGAGTCATAAAAGCCCACAACTGTCCATGTACTTGTTGGATGTATGGAGAAGTACATATTGACATGAGGCTTTTCTCTGTGTAGAAGACTTTACTTTGTACATAGCTTCTTTCTACTTGGCTTCACATGACTTAGCATCTCTCAGCAGCAGCTCTACTGCAGTACCTCTTTCACTGGAATGCAGTAGGCAGTCTTCTGCTGTGTGAGGAGCTGCAGACACACCAAGCTGGCATTCAAGTGCTGCTGAGTGACAGCCAGGGACCAGCTAACAGCTGATGTGCAAGTTGTGAGAGCTGGATCAAGAGCAGAAGGCTTCAATGCAGCACTGGTGGTGGCAGCAGTACGTGGCTCTTTACAGTTGCCTGTTTGAGAAGCAGCACAGCTTCAGTAAATCCTTAGCAAACTTAGTTTTATCCTCCTGCATTTTAATGAAGTCATAGAAGAGACTCTTTGCTAAACAAAGAACCAAGACGTCCCTCAGGTAGTAACAGCATGACAGTACTGAGACATCCCTAATGCAAATCATGCAATCTGCTGTCTCCACAATCCCTGAAGCATCCAGAGGTAGACATGCTGGCATTCATAAACCTCAGATGTAGGAGTACCAGGCTTTTATCAGAACAGAAATAATTCTGTTGCCCTGAAGCTGAACCCATTATCTGTGCTGGTTCAAGACAGCATCTCTACTTAAAGGCAGCACCAGGTAAAAATACCATGGATGCTGTCAAGGCAGAAGCAATAATTCACCTTCCCTTTTGGACTGGAGTGAGGTTTGTCATCTTGGGCTGTGATCTAAGAAGTAGCTGCCATTACTGCTGCAAAGTACAAGAGATATTAGCTTTTTCTGGAGCAGAATCTAGTTTTTACTGATTCCCATCCTTCTGCACTGAAAGGAGGGGGTTAGCCAGCCTTGCATTAGCTGGTGCTCGCCAGCTGTCTTGTTTACTGCTTGATATACATCAGCAAGGGTGGGACCATTGCTTCCAAGAGGTTTGCATACTGCTCTTCAGGACAGAGAAGCAGCTTTTACCTACCATAGAGTCATAAAATCCAAGTGGTTTGGGCTGAAATGAACCTGAAAGATCATATCTTTCCCACTCCTCTGCTATAAGCAGAGACATCTTCCACTACAGCAGGTTGCTCAGAGCTTCAACCTGGCCTCCAAGACGTCCAGGGATGAAGCATCCACAACTTCTCTTGGCAACCTGTTCCAGTGTCTCACCACCCCCAAAGTAAAGAATTTCTTCCTAATTTTTGATCTAGACCTAGCCTCTTTCAGTTAAAACTATTTACTCCTCATCCTGTCACTGCATGCCTCTGTAGTAGCTCTCTTTTGGTACTGGAAGGCTGCTATAAGAAGCTTTATCTTCCCCAGGCTGAACAACCCCAAATTTTTCATCCTGATTTCATAGGAGAGTAGTTGTCTTCTTAAGAAATACATCTGGTGTGACATCCCTCCTTTCAGAAAGAAGCCAAGGGTCAAAGGGATTCTCATTCACTAAGTTCTCTTTATATCATGGAGAGAGTTGGAAGAATTGGAGTGGGAAGTGCATAGTGTCTGTGCTTTGCTTTGACATTTCACTTCCAATGCTGGGAAGAGTTAAAAGATTGGGATATTTTGGATTTTTCTTGGGAGAAAATCTCAACTTTTCCTGTCCATCAAGATACAATTTGAAAATTCTAATTTTCTCTCTGAGTTTAGGAAAATACCTCTTGGTACTAGAAATGAACCAAACTCTCCCCATTCGTGCATTCAAATTACTTACGATGTCCTTTATGATTTCCAGCAGCAGGACAAATTGGCTTTATGAAGTGTTTCAAAATGTAAAAAGCGTGTTGCAGATTCCCTAAAGATGCAAATACTCATCTTACTTCTTTCCTGTTGCTAGGCTACTTGCCTGACTCACACTAGTGCTGTCCTGGAGCAGGCACCCAGTTTCTTGGCTCCAAGTAGAGCTTGTGAAACACCAAGCCATGGCAGGAATTTTCCACTGTCTTCATTTAAGGATGGTCACACCTCTCCAGAGGAAGCACACAGACAAAAGAGAAAGATTTTTTTTTTAAAAAAAAAACCAACATTGTGGCAATGTGGAAAAAAAAAAAAAAATTAAACCAAAATATACTGTTTAGGTTTCTGGAAAATGAGATCCACAAAGACATGAGGGACTAATGGGAAGATAATCAAACTGAATGTAATTACAGTTAAACTCATGATGAACTTCATTTTTTTATGCTAGTTTTATGCACATTTAGTGAGGGCAACTGGCCTGCTAAATTGCAGAGTGGAATTCAGAAGTGACAGCAGCCAGCACAAGGAATGTGACTATCTCTTGGAAGTGACGATGCCCATTTATTACAGCAAGAATAACTTCTGTGCTTGACCAAACAACTATCCAGTGAGAGGGGAAAATGCTTTTATCATGGTTAAGACAATACAAGTATTATCTTCAGGGTTTTCTCTATGCTGGGGCTAATATCTCACATGAAAAAATTGCAATCAACCACTCAATATAACAAATATTAATTAGGTCAAAGCAGGTGACTCATTTCTGGCTTATGAGACAAGAGTGGTGCCCTTCATCTTTGTTTAAGCCCCCTTAGTTTGTTGATTTTCTGACCATAGCCCAAGATTAGACATAGATTCTCCTGTTGCCAAAGGCTCCATGACTCCTAAAAGATACTGACCAGCTTTTAGTGAGCCCTGAAAACAGTTTTTTCCTTGCTTTCTTCTGAAACAGGGCCTCCGAGCACCTTAAATCAGTGGGATATATGTGCATAAAACAATCTGCACTGCAAAAAGAGGAATATTGTATTTACTAGCCTTCTGAAACAAGTAAATAACCTCATCTGACTGTGCACTGAGAATTAGTAGTGAAATTGTATGGATTACAACAGTTAACTTTATTTATTGTTTACTTGATTAATTAGAGGAGTTGTGAAGATTTTAAAGTTTATCCTCAGGTTGTCTCAAAAAATATTGTTTGATGCTTGTTTACTGCAGTCATCTTGGCCTTGATTAAAACATTGACATCTGAACTAAGACTAGAACATATATTTTACTACATTCCACATGGAAAAATAATTTTAAAATGGTATACTTTCTTTAAACTAATTTTATCTTTCCTGGCTTTTAGTTGTATGAAATAGTTTTATAGTTAAAAGATAATTTGCATAATGCTTTTAAAAGTCTTAATAGCTATAATAATTTTAATCTACTATGGAGTGTTTATAATGTATAGTGAGCTGAAGCATTTAATTGTGTAAAAAGTAATATTAAGGCACATCTTCTAATCAAAAGAGTAATGAGAATATTAAGTATGATGGGTTTTGTTATTTTTTTCTAATTGCATCTGGACATCCAATTTTATTACTTCTTTTGAAGCCCAAATGACCATGAAAACTGAGGTTAAATCTTCACTATCAGAGATATGCTGAAATCAGCTCTATGCAGGTGTTTTATTTAGTATCCTCTCTGGGATTGCACCAGTTGGCTCTGTTGAGACCTGATCCTTCCTCCAGTCAATCAATTAATGTTTTCCCATTCATGTTCTTTCAGCTAGGTTCAGGGTTTGTGTTATGATTGGTGGGTTTTATTTATTTACTGGAATATGAAAGACAAAAAATATGAGTCCTTATCTTCAGTGTGCTATTTAGGCAGCTATCAATCTCATCAAGAGGTGCAGCAGATCTGACATAAAGGACCTGCAGCTGTCCCGGAACAAAACACACATTGCACATAATAACAGCCCCACACAGATTTCCCCTCTCAAGTGTCCAGGCCAGATACCACAGCATAGAATCAATGCAAATCTCTGAGCAGAGTATAACATGGCCATTTTCCACAGATTTGATGCAATTCTTCTTTTCAAACACACTTTTTCCCCCCCTTTCTCTGATGATGGTTTCAAGTGGGAAAGTCGTTTCTTTGGTAACTATAGAATTTTATGGCAGCTTTGTCGGGAAAGCATAATTTTGATTCAATCTTGCCATCTTTGCAAGATGAGGTAAAATTTCATAGCTGTGCAATGAAACCAGCAGTAAGGAAGAACAAAAATTTCTACCATGCCTCATATTTGTGCTGAGTAAGCTATACTGGCTCTTTTTTAGAAGTGCCTGTCAGAGACTGGAAAAGGTGATCTGTTTCAAGACATCTTGGAGGCTTGGAATGTGTGGTGGGAGCCTTGTTCTGGTGAGGTGGTGCCCTGGCCCAACACAGCCCAGCCCCACAGTGTGTGTCAATCATGGCACACTGGAGACAGCCCCCGCAGTGTCACCTAACCCACCTAACCCTGAGTGGTCCAGAGACCAAAGTCCCACCCAGAAGGAAGGCCCAGGATGGGCCAGAAAGAGCTTAAGAAGGGTGACCTTGAGGCAAGCATGTTCTTTTTTAACCCTACCTTTATCTGAAAGATTTACATAGCTAGACCCAGGAGCTGATAGCTATTTTTGTCTTTCTGTATCTTTTCTGTCTCTCTGTTTCTCTCCCTTCCTTCTTCTTTTAACTCCCTTCTCACAGAAGGTAACATTGAATGGTTTGAAGGTTTACTGTGTTCAGCAGGCTAAGTACTTTGCCAATAAACTTTTGTGTTTTTTTACCTCTTGAGAATATTTGGTTGGGATTACCCAGAGCAAAAGTACCTTGATTTAGCCTGAGGTTTGAGTGACCAGGGTGTGACAGTAACATAAACTTACAGCAGAATTTCCATTTTATCAGGAATTCTAATACCTAGATTATATGTTCTAGCTTGGAAAAGAAAATTGATAGTTGACATTTTTCATAAACCGGAAAGTTCTGATATTGCTTGATGGGGATTTTTTTCTTAATTTAATGGTAAAATTATTTTAGTGTGATTATTTTTATTTGCCTTTAATATTTTTACCATATTGAGGCATAAAATATATGTCATATCCAAAACTTACCAGAAGTAATATTAAATGTATTAAATCAGATTTTGATGCAAAAAAAATTTGTATTGAAACATTTTTTTTTTTATATAGAAGACTCTGAAAACTATCTTCAAAATTTTTTACTTGAAGGGAACATCTTTTGATTTTAAACAAACTGTTTATATTAACTCTTTTGAACAACTTGGCATCTTGCCTCTTATTGTTATTCACTGTCATTGTGCTGATTAATTTTATCCATGTTTTAGAACAAATCAATGAATATTGTTGAAGTTTCATATTAATCCATTGTACAAATTCAGAATCTACATCTCTATGACTTTTTCCCATGGCTGTTCAAAATGGAAGATCAATATGCACATATGGATTTATTTATTAAAAATTATATGCTCTTTAATATGAAAGTAATATGATCTATGTTCTGAAGGTAGAATCTTCTATGATCCACCTGGGAAATAATTTATGTAATTAGGGGATGGTAGTCTTGTCTTTTATCACTGCAGGCAAGGCAGGAATTTTTTTCAGAGACAATGATGGTGTGTTTTATAGCATTTGGTATCAGTAAGTCCCTTAAGGGCTGAACATAAATGCAAATAAATTAGGAGCTTCATTGCATATTTGCAATTTATGACAGAGTGCAGTTTCACCTACCAGCAGGAATACCATAAGAAAAGTAATTCTCTACTAGATCCCTGATGTTTGTTTTGGGATTGTAGGGGGAAAAAAATTACCCAGGCAAAACAGAATTCTTGTTTGCTCCAGAAATCTGAAATTTTTACTGTTTATGAATTTCAAGTCTGAGTACTATTCCAAGTTTGTCCCTTCTCCCCCTTTCTTGCCATTCTTACAGCAGATTTTTGGAAGTAGAGATGATGGGTGCCTGAATACACACACACCACAAAACTGTTGTTTAAAATCTGTTTGTTCTAACATTCCTTTACCTCACTGATCTGATAAAAATTAAATTGTCAAACATAACTAATAGTGTACTGTACATTATAGATCAGAGTGAGTTGTTTTAATAATAACTTTTGTCATTTGTAGTGATTCAAATGCTTGGCTCAGGGGTGTAAAAAGGATATTTCTCCATGCCTTCACAGTATAAACAGTCTTGCATGA